ATACAACTGTACTGGAAGCCCTGGCAGACACTCCGCCTGTATCCCCAGCACTTAGTCCAAAGCTCAACAGAGACTACAGTCCCTACTGGAGGACTCCGTGGAAGCACAGACAGTGGCAGCAGAGCTGGAGCCAGGACCTAGGAGCCTCTACTTCTTACCATCAGCTCTACTTACCCACTGAGCTGAGGTCAGAACACCATGGAGCAGGCGAACCCATTTCCTTCTCTGTACAGTGGCACTGTGGACAGATGAAGAGGCAGCCTTGTGGGGCCTCAGTGGATCACAGGCTGGTGAGGGGTAAGAGCTGTGTGTCTACACCACTTCAGGCCGTGTACAGTCTGGGCACTCCGCCCTCATAGCCCCAGCACAGAAGCACGTCCCCGATGACAGAGATCAGTGAGGCTCAGAAAGGCTGCATGACTGGCCAGGATGGCCAGTGAGCGAGCAGCAGAAGCAGGGTGGACCTCGGGCTCTGGGATGGCCAGCCCAGTCCCAGCTGTGTCCTAAGGCCAGCACGCACTGCTGGGCTGAGGTCCTGAGCCTCCCACCCATCCCCATGGCTCTCTCCCAGCCCTCCTGGCTGTAGGACCTGCTCCATACATGAGAATTAGAAATCTGAGACTTGGTGTGAAGCCAACTTGCAGCACGAGAAATTGCTTGGGAGAAGAAAAATCAATTGAACCATCTTTAAAGTTCTCTGGGTGTGAAAACCACAGTGGAGGTCCATCACTGGAGCTGCCTTGGGAACTGTTACCTTTAAGATGTAGTGACCTCTGGAAAAATATCTTAGCCCACGGCTCCACCTCGAAGTGCTGGTATAAAGGGCATGAGAGGTTGTTTAAACAGAGGTGGAGCACTGGGAGACAAGGGCTGTAACAGATGAGCAAAGGGGCAGGGTTTTTATAAGAACTGACCTTAAATATTGAGGGGTTATTTTTAGGGAAGAAAATAATACCCCTTTATTACAAGCTCTGAGTAGCTCCTGAGCCCTTTATGGGAACAATTTCTTTGCTCTTACATATATAGTTAGGAAGGGCAGGGATGGGAGCAGTGGCTCACGTCTATAATCCCAGTCACTCTGGAGGTGGAAATCAAGAGGATCGAGGTTTGAAGCCAGCATGAGAAAAAGTTAGTAAGACTTCATCTCAACCAGTAAGCCTGGCGTGTTGGCGCACGCCTGTCATCCCAGCTGAGCAGTGGCATAGAAGGGCAGTGTAGGCAGGTCTGGGGAAAACAGAAGACCCTACCTGAAAATAACTGAAGCAAAAAGGGCTGGGGACATGTCTCAAGTATAGAGCACCTGTGTCCCCCCCCACCCTCTATATATCTCCATCCTAAGGAGAAGGGATGGTCTCCATCTTGAATTTCTGAACGCTGGCTGCCTTGGAGGGTAAGAAGCTCCCCAGGCTCTAGAGCCCAGGCTGCTTCTCTGGGTCTTTAGGGTTTGGGGTCTGAGCCTGTGACTCAGACAGACAGGGAGGTGCCCATGTCCTAGGACCACCCAGAAATGGCTTCTTCACTTCAGAGCCACCAGGCTGCTCCATGTCCAAGGTTCAGAGCACTCTACTGTGTGCGGGGTTCTGCATGGAGCATAGGGCACATTTAGGCCTCACCTGGGTTTGAATCCCAAGGCTGCCAGCGTTGAACGGGGGAGGCAGTCACAGTAACAGAAAACCCTGTGTGTGCAGAGATCAGCCATAGAGCCATGAGCCTGGGGTGGGGGGCTGGCTAGCCAGGAGGGCAGAAAGGACAGTGGGACGTGTTCAGCCATGGGGCTGTGAGCTAACACCTGTGTGCAAGCAGGAGTTGGCTGGGCAAAGAGGACTGTGCCCATCCCTACCCTAAGCCTGATGTGGGGGAATGTGGCATGTGTCACTAAGTGCTTGTCCCACGGGCTGCAGGCCACTACTGAGGGGTGCAGACCCTTGGAACCTGAAGGGACCATGGAGAGCTTGAAGTACAGCTCATGTGGTCAGACCACAGTGCCCATGGGTCACTGCCTGGCTGCTCTCAGTGGATGCAGTAGTGAAGGGACGGAAGAAGATGGGCCCCACTTTCTACCTGGAGGAAGCAGGAGACGGAGGAGGCAGAGGGCTTCCACAGTGAGCCCTGGTGACTCAGCTCGGGACACTGTGTCTGTGTGTGGTGGGCTTGCAGCAGAGGCCCAATAAACACTGAAAAGCCAACTACAGACAGTAGAGGAAATGTTCCTGAGCCAGTCTTCCTACAGCCACATGGTCAAAACCATACCACTCTTCCTCCTGCACTAAGAAAAGCGTTCCTTTCTCTCTACACCTGTGCTAAAAACCAATCTCACTGCCATGGAAAGTGTTAGTTTGGGTAGGAGTAGTGGCAATGCAGCAGGCAATACCTGGTGGGCTGTGAGGACGGAGCAGCTTCATACTCCGTGGGGAATGGGGGGACACTGATAGCAAGAGAGAGATGAATGCAATGCCCTAGCGCAGCCCAGGATGCTCACAGTGCTCAGTGTAGCCTCCCAGCCCTGGCTTCCCTCTCAGGACAAATCAGACTGATTCTACCTGACAGTGGGAATCCCCTAGGCAGAACCTGCTCGGTTCAGAGCAATCGATTCTCTGCCCTTCTGGCTCCTCCCATATTGAAAATGAGACAATTTTGTACCTGCTGCCACAGTTCCAATGCCTTCCCTGCCAGGACGCTTGCCTCCATGGGATGGGTGACATGTCTCTGCTCTGGGCGGTGGTGACTTGTGTCATTTGGTGGCCAAGCACCAGCTGGCCTAGGGAAGGGTGGGGGCAATATAGTCCCCTGGCAGATGAATCCAATCAATCAGGGGAGAAGTCCACAAAGCCTTGCAGACCACACTCAACTCCTTCCCAAGGCCCAAGGCCTTCCTACCAGGCCACCGAGTGCCCAGCACTCTGTGTACACATATTCCTGTAGCACTAAGGACCAAGAGTTGGCATGTTTCCATCAGCTAGTGACTTATTTTCACAAAACTAAAGGCTACACATAGGCTGGACATAGAATTATATAGCAATAAGGACATAGAATTATATAGCAATAAGGTAGGAGCGCCCCCTCCCTGTCCAGTCCACTCTACCCTTTCCACTGCTTCTGTTATCTGGCTCAGATTTGTGGCCAATCAGCCAGTAGGTACCATCTAGGGTCTTGGGGACAGTTGAGAAAACTGGTCTCTCCTGGACTTTATCCTGGAAGGATGGAGCCCAAGCGTACAGTACTCACTCGCCACCAAATGGAGCCCAAGACGGAAGACAGAGCAGAGGCCATGACAAAGAGCACTGCCATAACGTCCAGCCCGGAGCCCACCATGCCTGAGACTGGTAAACGTCCACACTCGCCTTACACCAGCTGGTGCAGCATCCTGGCCCAGCAATCAATGCCCTGGGTACCAGGGAAGAATTGGGCCCCTAGCTTCAGTCCTGATGGAGTCAGGCAGAGGCACAGCCAGCCTCTCTGTCCGGCCAGGTCTGAGCTCCTGCTCTCCAAACAGGTCTAGCCCCAGCCTCTCCTGGAGTCTTCTCGACTGTCCCAGTCTACTCCCGCCCTCCACTCACCAGGGCCAGAGAAAGCAGACAGATGCTGATGTCTGCTGAGTGCTTGTCACATCCATGTGGCCTCACTGACTACACATACTCTGACTCTGAGGGAGATTGCTGAGGTGCAGAGAGGTGCAGTAACTTGCTGGAGGTCACACAGCTCAAAGGTGGCAGTAACACTCACACAGAGATCTCCTGATTCCAAAGCCCCTTCATGTCACCCCTTGCCCTCTTGCTGGGCTCTGGGCACTTCCAATGCTTTCCTCAAAGCCTCTCCCAGTTCCTCTTCTGGATGAGGGTCCCCCAGACCCAGTGGGCTATGAAGATCCCTGGCTCTCAGCAGCTAGAAGCCATGTGTTACCTTCTTTCCTGCTTTCTAACCCCCCAACCTACACCCTCCTGCTCCCACACTCCTTTGCAGCCAATCCTGGCTTCTGCTCAAGGGACAGAGCCCAGGTGGGCACTGTGCCCTGTCAAAGCTTCTCATGGTGAGGGCTGAGCCATCTTGGCTCTGGGTGCCCAGTGCCAAGAAGACACTTTGCTATCTGTCTGGTTGCACAAGGCTAGTGAGTGGGTCTCCACCTCCCATCACACACCTGGGTGCCTCCCTCACAGAGGACAGTCTCTGGAGCCATGGGTGTGGGGTTGAATCTCAGGGGTCACTTGCTAGCTGTGACCTTGTAGCAAGCAGATTTGGGCTCCCTGTGACATGGCTCCTGGTCTGGAAAGGGGCTCACGAATAGTGCCTATGGCACAAGGCTGTGTGAAGATGAACTGAGTTAACATTAACACTCACTGCTGAGTAGAGTCCCACACACGGAGTTCGCTGTGTGTGACCGTCATCATCAATGGCTGCACAAAAGTGGTGTCTTAGCAGATTGCCTGTCCTGTCCACCGCTGCCTTGGTGGTGGCCAAGCCTTGCCCTCCCCAAGTCAACACTCACAGGCCAAGGGTCCTTTCGTCTTCAAGTGGAAGGGGCCTGTCATGCACTTGTCCCTAGCTTGCTCTGACACAGGGACCACTAAGCGAGGTCCCCCAAAGCCCAACTCCAGCCAGGTTTCAACACTCCAGTTGTCACTCAGCCCTGGGCAGAACGCAGTGCTGTCTATGACACATGGCTACTACCTGCCTGGCTTGGACCTCAGGGAGGTTCCAGTTGGCTGTTGGTGGGTCAGTCACCCTTCCTCCAAGACAAGGCATTCTGGGATCTTAACTCCTTCACAGCCCCTAAATCACGGCCACTCTGGTGGAGGCAAGGGGTCACACGGAGCCCCTGGGCAGCCATGACTTTAGTGTTCAGAAAGAGACAGCATGTGATCCCATACCGGGGCCCCATTCACGCACTTAGCCAGAAGACGCTAAACAGAGATGAAGACCCCAAACCAGCTTGATTACTACCAACCCCCGCCCAGGTCCCCTCCCCCTGGGAGAAGCCATTGTGGGGTGCTTGTGAAGGATACTGAAGCTCCTGTCGGTGATGGCCAGGTGCCAGAGGTTGATACGCAGGTCATCGGCTGACATGTATGTCTCGCAGTCACTGTTGACAGAGATGGAGTTGATGTGATAGGTGTGGCCATTGGCAAAGATCCTCCGTGGACTCACCTCCACCATCAGGTCCATGGGCTTCAGCACAGGTACCTGCCAAGGAGGAGGGTGGTCAGAGCAGGGTGGTGCAGGAGAGGGTGAGGTGGCATGGTGGCACAAGATCTTAACGAGAGGCTGCGACACGGACACGGGCATTGATCCTGATACTGCGTGGCCTCAAATAAGCAGACTGTGAATAAGTGGATGAACCCCTCTGCACCCCATTTCCCCATCTCGAAAATGGAATGAGGGGTAATGTGGCAGAGCCAGCCGATTGTCCACAATCACAGTAATTTCCCTTCTGGGAAGATGCTGCCCAGATGAGGACTACATATCCCAGCTGCCCTTGTACCTGATCACAACCATATGATTGGTTCTGACCAATAGGAAGTGAGCAAAGTGATGCTTGCGTTAGCAAGGGCACACAGTGCTGTGCCTTTCTGGGTGAGGACCCAGACCTAGGGGAGGGGCTGGAAGGAGCCTGCGGGAGAGTCACATGCTAACAAGAAACCCATGCGGGATCTTCCTCTAGTGTATCCATGTGCAGCCCTGGAACATCGGGCTGTTGTTACAGCCAAGTCAGCCTGACTCATACAAACTCCTGTCTCACAGCCCCCATGGTGGCACCAGACATGGGCCTTTGCTTCCTTCTGTGCCCCAGGCCTGGAGCATTCACCCCTCTGCAATCCTAGCCAACCCCACCTCCCAGACCAGACGCAACGGCCCTGGGTGTGCACCTGCCCTGCTTGCCTCAGCATGCCGCGCGCATCTCTTGTTGGAGCACTTGCTCTGCACTGTGGTGGGTGTTGGACATGGCTCTGGCCAACTGTGAGGCCTTGCAAGGTGCTGAGACGGACAGACAGATATGACTTCGTTGATCTCTCAAAAGGCTTGGCTTGGGTGATCAGGAAACAGAAACTGACCCACCCCACACTCAGGCTGAGCCAAGGGTCCCCTGGTGCTCACAGAGCCCCAAAAGTGCCTCGTCAAAGCCTGGTCTGCTGCAAGGTTGTCATCTGCTCCCATTTCTCCTTGGTGGACTGGGGACCAGTTGGAGTGCAACATGTCTTCATTTGCCTCTCTGTCTTTCTGGTACTTGATCCAGACCGAGAGCAGAGAGCGCTTCGGTGAGTGAGTGTGTGATGGTCCCCCAGTTCCCCAGGACAGCTGAGATGGGAGGTGACAGCCTCAATGTGGCAGTGTGTGTGATGAGCACCAGGCTCTAAGCCCTGTCCTCACACACCAGGGCACCCAGTGTGCGTGCGAGTATGGACATGAGTGTGCACTCATGAGTGCAGGTGCATGTGTGTGCATGAGTGTGAGAACTTGCATGCAGCATGGCAGGCTGGCCCGCCTGGCTCTGGTGTTCCTCTTGCTCTCTGTGTATGTCTCCTTCTAAGGGAGTCAGCATGGGTGTCTCTGGACCCCAGGGGTCCTCCCTGCACTTGTCCCGTGTGTTGGTTAGTCTAGGTCAGCTTCTCACCTTCCCTTCCCTCAGGGCACAGCCATCACCCACTTGGAGACCCTTGGGCAGAAGAGACCAGAGATGCGGCCACTCTGGAGGCCACTACAGAGTCTCTGGCCTGGCCCAGTCCTGGGTCTCACCCCCCCTCCCCCCCTCACTCTGACAGCAATACTTTCTCTTAGCAGCCTGAGGATGCTCACCGCACCCAGCCATTCACTGCCACCCACCAAACCAGATGTCAAAGCCATGGAAATGAAGGACGGGAAGAGTGGAAAGAAACCTGCCCTGAAGATTTGGGGGTTTCACAAACAAAACCTTCGCTGCCACTCTACCAAAAGCCATGGTCTAGTCAACGCAAGGGACCAAAAGATGAAGGAAAGAGAAGGACTGGATGGCAAGGGCTGGAGAGACAGAGGAATGATAGTGATTTTCACTTGGCCTGTGTGGAAAATGTGTTGCAGAGATGATGGCTGAGAGGTTTTGAAGGATGAACAGGAGTTCACCAACTAGAGAAGGTAGAGAAAGGCCTCCTGGGCTCCCGCAGCCCGTGCGTCCCTCTGTCACCACACTGACCACAGTGTGACAGTGATTTTCTATCCATTTCTGCGGGGGAGCTGGGCACACTCTGGAGTCAGGGACTGATGTTTGAGGTTCTAGGAACCTAGCACCAGCCTAGCATGGAGCCCTAGCACAGAGCCACTTCGAAGCCCACCCTGGGGGCTTCCAGCACGCCTTACAGGCGAGGCAGAAGCTGTGCAGGAGGGTAGGGGAGGCTTCGGTGAAACGGTGAACAAACGGGTAAGAGGCAAGATAAGGAAAGGCCAGGACCCCAGGAGACCCCTCCTCCTGCAGCCTCAGCTGACAGTTCAGTGTCTTGACATGTGACATATGGAGAGAAATCTCCCACACTGGGAGGGAAACACGCGTGATCCCCGTGGGCCACGGGCTCTGCCTTGAGCGCCAGGCCAATCAAGACAATAGCATCTGTCGCTGAGATGAAACCCGGGGGACAGCGGAGGTGTGGGACACCATTGTCCTCGCCACTCAATGCAGAAGCTGACTGGCCTTCCCGCGTCCTCGGAATTTACTCCTGCAATTTGCCGGTCATTGAGAGGCCAGCACACTTAAACACTTCTCAGGAGCGCACCGATTTCCACGTTGTGTTTATGATGACTGGCTGGACGCTCAGCCGTGGGCACCTGCTACAGTTCCAGGGGAGAGGCAGAGAGGCCTGCTAAGTCATTTCAGAGAGTGGACTTGTCCTGTCTGTTTTACTGGTGAGGAAACTGAGGGACGGAGCAGGGAAGTGACCGTGGCTGTTGACAGCAATTTGTCCAGGGGCCTGGAGAGGCTAAGGACACCCCTCACCCTAATCATGGCTTCTCAAAGATGCAGCACACCACGGTTAAGGACAGGAGTGTCCCATGATGTGGGACTCCCCCTTGTCCCCCCCCCACACACTGGCCAGGCTCGTTCCCAGCACTCTCAAGTCACTTCCTCTGAGCTGACTTGACCGGGGCTGGGACGTCTGCACACTGCGGCCTCCCAGCGCTTGGGGCAGAGTGGGGCGGTACGTATCAGCCCCACACCAGCGTCGTCTTCAGCAGACACTGGCAGAGCACCCTCTTTGCTCCAGGCCTGATTTTGGAGGCCAGAGACACACAAGGTGGCTTTAGCCACCTCCTGGCCAGCTGCAGAAGCCACAGGAAGGACAGCCACAGGGCCCTTCCCGCCTGACGCCACTGACCACTTATGTCCCTCGTGGGCAGCAGGGACCTCCTGCCTGCACCAGAAAGGAGGTGGAATGTGGACCCCAGAGCCAGGCTGCCTTGGGTTTGGATCCTGGCTCCCAGACTGCTCATCTGTGAATTGGAGTGACAGCATCCATGCCCCCCTTCAGGATCTGGTGCTGATGAAGTGAGCACACATTCACTATGGCTGTGTTTATTCTTGTTCCAGAAGAGGAATCCGAGGCTCACGGAGGCCCCAGCTCACCTGGCAGGAAGTAACAGGGGTGGACTTGAACCCTGGTCCTGTGACTCCAGAACTTACTTTCATGTCTCACAGACACTCCGTCGGGAGAAAGGAGTCCTTTCCCCTTTCAATAGCACAGGACAGGAGTTGGCGTTGATGCAGCAATGCAGTGTGAACTTCCCAGCCTCTTTCAAGCTGATGGCAATCTGGCCAGCACAGCTCTGTGAATGCTGCAAGCTGAGAATATCTCAGGCTTCCTCTGTCCCCTGGCCTAGGACTCAGGACTGGAAGAGCTCAGCTGACAGACCTTCTCTCCCTTGGCTCCACTCTCGCTCAGCTGAGTGGATTTGGGTGAGGTACCTCACCCTGGGCCTCAGTATCCCCCTTCACGTAACAAGGCATTCTGACTTGCAGGTAGAAAGTCACGACCACCACACCTCACGCTCACAAGACTCCCAGGTCTCCATTTCACTGGTGAGGAAACTGAGGCCTGGAGCAGGGAAACATAGTCGCCCAGCAAGGGAGCAACCCAGCCAGGATGAGACCCTGACTCTAGCTCTGAGCCCAAAGGCCGGTGCCCTAAAATCCTCTGGCTGAGTAAAAGCACAGGTGCTCCTCCTCCTGTCACAGGACACTCTCCTCTGTGAGTGACCCCCGCATTGGACACTCACCTGCAGGGACGTCACCGTGGACAGGTCTTTCAGCTTCCCTTCCTCGTCCTTCAGGTTGTAGCCCTCGGGCCTCTTATCTCGTTCTGTAATCTTCCATAATTTTATAGTTTTATCTTTAAGAACAGAACAAAGAACAAGCAGACACCTGTCAGCCTCCAGGACAGGGGACAGAACACCAGCCAGCCAGCCACACATGGCACCCGTCTGGAGGCCACCGACCACCACCCTGTTCTGGACAGCTGGGAAGTCCCAAGGCACACGCTGTGCACACTCACACAGAGCACATCTCCGCGTGTGACGTGCCTGTGTTCACCCCCCTCCTTCCTCATGTTTGCTTCCAAAGGTGACAGATATCACTGGGCTAAAGGATTTGGCACTTTCAAGGGTCGTTATGGACCTCTCCCCTCCCCACCCTGTAACGTCCTTCACAGACAGATAGGAGCAGTCAGCCCGTGTATTCTTTCCAACTAAACAGCCTCACTTTGGGAACCTGGCTAAGAATATCACAAGAGAAAGATGGTTAATTCTGTGTCACCTTGGCTAAGCACAGAGGCCAGATATTTGGTTAAACATATCTTGGATATGTTTAAAGATAAGATTAAAATTTAAATCTATTTAGCAGATGACTTGTCATGATGTGGGTGGGCCTCATCTAATCAGATGAAGGCCCGAATAGACCCAAAACTGACAGAGAAGGGAATCCAGACTTGAACTACAGCTCTTACCTGGCCTCTGGCGAGTAGGCCAGCCCTTAATATTGTGGATCTACCAGCCCCTGCATGTGAGCCGATTTTTTAAATCGACGCCCCTCTTTTGGTCTCTCTCCCATTAGTTTGGTTTCTCTCTGAAGAACTCTGACAACCACAGTGAGCTCAGCTTGTCTCCCATGGTCACTGGGTCTCTGGACCTGGTCCTTGTCTGGAGTAGCACGTCCCCTATACACTACAACAGGAGCTCACAGGCGGTCATGACGACACCGGTTAGTACAGTGAGGAGGACCCGGCGTCCAGCCTGGGGAGGCCAGTGAGGGGTCACTCGAAAGCAGTCACATGCTGCCCGAATGTTTTAGGAGGCCTAAGACTTACAGCAGCACGAGCGATGCCAGCGAGGTAAAATCGGCCACCCCGTGTCCCCGCACCCCGTGCCCGGCCAGCGGGCCTCACCGTTGGTGGACAGGAGCGAGTGTGCGGCATTCTGCTGCGGGAGCCATTTGATCTTGTTAATTTTTTCCTCTATCTCCAGGCTCTTGAGATAGTCGAACTCCGGCTCGTGGCTCTGGAAGGTACTGTAGACGTCGTACTCACCCTGGCCGTGAGGCGCATTCTTACTCTGCACGAAAACCACACAGGGCTGAGCCGCAGGACTGGCCAGGGCGGCTGGGAGTGCACACGGGAAGGGGCCAGGTGGTCAAAACCTCAGAGGGCCCAGTGCAATCTTTCCATCAGTCGCCAGGAGCACCAGAAGGTCCAAGCCAAGAGAAACTACTCTTTATTTTTATATTTTGGTGGTACTGGGGTTTGAACTCAGGGCCTTGCACTTGCTAGGCAGGTGCTCTACCTACCACTTGAGCCATGCCCCTAGCTCTTTTGGCTTTAGTAAATTTATCAATTCTGCCCTTGCCAGCCTTGGGTGCAGATCCTACCTACCTCCACCTCCCACGTAGCTGGGATTATAGGCATGTACCACCATGCCTGGCCCTGGAAACTACATTTTAAACAGTCCGTGACTTGCTGAGAGGCAGTGCCCACGCTCACCCTGATCTCAGTTCAGCGGTTAAGAACACCTGAGTGAGCTCACATTGACTGAGCACCTGCTTTCTGCCGGCTGCTGAGCTAAGGGCTTCCTTTCTCACCTCTCCTATCCGTGAGGCTTCCTCTGTGGAGGTGGGGCCAGGACTCCCCATCTTACAGACCAGAGTGGAGAGAGGCCAATGGCCTTTCCAAGACCTCGTGCTTACTTCGCTGAGGCAAGACACCGAAGCTGGCTCTCAGCACCTCATGGAGCGTCTGTGTGTCCAGTTCGGGCCTGACTTGAGGAGAGGACACGTTTAGGAACAGACTTTACACTGGTGCGATGTCAGACCAGGGACAGAACAGCGTCTCCCGACTGCCTTGGTGGCTCCCATCCTGGCTTAGGCAACAGAGCTCCTTACAACAGACCCTCCTAGTGCAGCCCCCCAAATACTGAGGTGCTGGGCCCGCCACGCGCACCAGGGACTGCTTTCCCAGTTTCCATGACAACATGAAACTGTCTCCAACCAAGCACAGGTTCAGGGGTTTTTGCTCATTATTAAAAAGTGTCTATTTTTGGGCTCCTGTCCCTGTGTCATCATGAAAACTTTAAAGTTCTTCCATGTTTTTGCTTCTGCTTCACTTCGTCTCCCACAAGTACTGGTCATGACAACGGACAGCAGGACAGGACCAGAATGAAGAAAAAACTCAGGGAGAGGCGCTCAACGTGAGCAAGCTCACCTGCCCGATTTAATTTCTCTCTCCATTTGGCAAAAGGATGGCTGTGTTCTGTGGCCCTTGGTGGGACCCCCTGGCCCTGACATGTGTCAGCCATACTGGCTGGCCGATGCCAGTGTGGCTATCTGCTCATCTGTGTCCTTGGCAAGCTATTTTCAGCCCTCTGTGCTTCATCTCCTCATCTGTGGGATGATAACAGCAACTAACTGCCCCCTGGGGTGGCTGTGAGGAGGCCGTGTCAGTCAGTCAACCAGGGACCACGCTTAGGAAGGACAGACTTACCTCTCAGCCACTCTCCCCTGCCCTGCCTCACCTGAGTTTTCACTCCTTTACACTCCCTGCGGGGGTCCCCTCTCTGTCCAACACATGGCTGAGGGAGAGAGGTCCTTCCCTGGGGTGGTGTGTGACAGACCACAGCCACAGAGCCTAGGCCTGGGCTGCGGCTCTCTGGCTGGGCGACCTGTCTGTTCCACATCTGAATAGCGGGTGTGGTTCCTTCCCCCCTTGGGGTAAGCAATGAAGAGCAGAGGAAAGTAAATAGAACACTCAGCCAGGAGCCTGCTCACCATAGGCAATCAGCACAAGGTGCTCACAGGCTGCTCCTATCTTACTAGGAATTCTGCTGATCAGCAGACCATAGGGGCAGGGATGGGCAGCTGGACAGGAGGGGGCAGCCTCCCTTCCTCAGAGGAAGGCTGGGGCAGCCTCTGGCTCTGCCTGGTGCTGAGGTCTTTCTGGGGTCTGGGCTCAGAATAACCAGTCAGCAAACAGCTGCTGGGTAGAGGGGCTTAGAACACGACCTGGGACCCTGTCCTGCACCTGCCTGTCCCATCCCGCATCCCCTTCCCTCCAGCCCCGGGGATCCTGTGATGGAGACAAACCAGGTTCAGGGAGGCAACTGTGGGTCAGAGGACCGGCTTGGGGTATAGTCCCTGCCTGGCCAATCTCGGCCCCCATCTGACCCCACCCTTAAAAGACCTGGTCCCCAACTTGATCCCACTCTACCGGACTCTCCCTGCCAGACCCCACCCTTCCCACCACCTGCCAGCCAGGGCTGCTTTCTCCCATGCCAGACCCCACCCTTCCCACCACCTGCCAGCCAGGGCTGCTTTCTCCCACCTGACCCCACCCCCACACACCTCTGGCTCCCTCTGGAAGATGACCACCCGGCCTCCCCTGTCGCCTGTGGCCAGCAGCTCTCCAGTGTGGTTGAACTCGACGGTGGAGATGACATCAGCTAGGGGACAGACAGGAGGGAGTCGTTAGAACAAGGCCTCACCCGGTGCTGGACAACCACAGGGTGACACGTGCTCGGGCTCCCACCTGCTGTGAGCAGGTGGGAGCCAGGGCAGGAGCAGGCAAGGCCCTCCCATCCAACTCCCAGGGTGGGCTTCCTTCTTCCTTCCCCCTCCCTTCAAGGAGCAGCTTATGGGCGTTCTTGGGACTGAGTACAGGATTCGGCTGCAAGTCACCCGCTCACTGAGCCTGGTGATCAGCCAAGGGTGGAGACGAAGTGGCATGCCTGTGTCTCCACCAGACCCTTCTGAGGACAGAGTCCTGGCCTGAGGCAGGCCGTCGGGAAGCCACCTAAGAGGATGAGGGCTGGGTGCAAAGCTAGGAGGACCATAGTGGTTTACAAACTGTAGTACTGGGAAGAAAAGTGGGGCCTGAAGGTGGCATCTAAGGCCACCTGGCGTCACCTCACCCCTTCTGCCTCGAGCTCTCCAGCTCCCATGCTCCTGACACCCAGGCCGGGCCAGGCCTTCCCTGCCCCCCTGCAAACAAGCCCCTCCCCCGCCCCCGAGCCAGGGCTGGGTACTCAGAAGGGTTGGGGTGGCTCTCTGCTCCCCTGGGAGCCCGCCTCCAGAAGGCCTCTGAGTCTCCTCCTAGTCTGCGCCCCCATAAGGCTGAGCTCAGTTCTTCCCACGGTGCCTCTCACCCATGTTTCCTCCAGCGCTCAAGGGACCTTCCTTAAGGGGTTACCCCAGTACCTGGGGTCTTGGACACCCAGGGCTGGCCCTCCTGCATGGGCAGGTGTTTGGAGAGAACCAACAGCACCATCTCCGGGCCCAAGTCTTGGCGTGGGAATGAGGGGAACACCTCTTCCTTCACCAACATTCTCAGACCCTCCGAGTCACAGAGACAACTGACCCAAACATTCCACGGGGTGGAAGGGAGGGGATCAGAAGGAGGTCAGGACCCTGTCTGGCAGAAGAAAGGCACCTCTTCTAGGGACAGGTGACCCTGTAGGACAGCTCGTAAACTCAAGACCTCAGGCTGCTTGCTCCACCAACAAGCTTTATTGGACCCCAAAGTAATTTTTATTTTTAATCCAAATTCACTCCTAATATTTGAAAAGTGGAAGTGTTCCTGTAAAAACCATTTTTAATATAGCTGGAAACACCAACACCATCTGCCCAAGCAGCAGTTATTGGATCAGAGCAAGGCCCACCCCCACGATGGGACCTCCCTCTGTCATCTTTCCCCTTCCTGGTGTGGCCTCTGCAGGCACCAAGACCTCTGATCCCAGCTTAGCAAACAGAACGCCACCAGACTTCCAACTCTACCACAGAGTCATAGTAACAAAAACAGTATGGCACTGTCATAAAAACAGACAGGAAGACCAAAATAGAACCGAAGACTCAGAAATAAAGCCACCCTGCTTCAGCCAAATGATCATTGACTAAGGAACCAAAAGCATACACTGGCAAAAGCCAGCCTCTTCGACAAATGGTGCTGGGGACAGTGGTTAATTATATGCAGAAGACAGATTAGATTCATATCTGTCACCCTGTACAGATGTCCTTTCAAACCAAACACAGCAGGGACGCTACTCCCTGGGGGCCCAGGAAGGGTGCTAGGATACCACGCTGCCTGTTCTTTATCCTCCCGACAGGCAGCTGACAGCGTGCTGGTTCTCCTGGTCACAGAACGTCTCTCTGTTCACTACCTTCCAGCAGCCCCAAGCCTGAATTCCGGCCCCTCCCCATCTCCTCCTCACTGGGGTCTCAGTGATGGCGGCTCCAGTATGGGCTGACTCAGCCCAAGCCTTTGGTCATCCTGACTTCCCTCTCCCTTCCCACAGCCAGTCTTGCCAGGCTCCTCCCTCACGACATGCCCAGGTCCTAACCACCACTCACTCCCACCCCTGGCCTGGGGAAGCAGGTCACCTCAGTCTTCCAAGGGCTGCGACCTGGCCTTCAAGAGAGGGCAACGTGGGGAAACCCATGTTGCTTTAACCACTTCACACCTGGGCTCCAGGCCCTCATGGCTCCCCACTCCATACAGGTGAAACACAGGTGTCAGTGGCCTGAAAGCCCCAAGAGGAAACATAGGGGACCCAACTTTTCCCCTTCCCTGCTTGTGTCCTTCTCCATGGAACTTGGCAGTGTCCCCACCCTGGGCCAGGTGACCTGCTCCCAGCCCTTGACTCTGGACACTGAGATTCGCTTGGGGCCTGCAAGAGAACAGCAGATGATGTACAAAGGATTGGGCGCTGCATTTGCCCTGGGGCCTCTGTCTTTGCCAGAAGGACCTGCTCAGGTCCCCAGGGGAGCAGGTATAGCAGAGCCAATGGCCAAGTCCAGCTGGGAGCAGGCCACAGAGTGCAGAGCAAAGCAGGCCCAGGCAAGCCCAGAGTCAGCCTCTGCAGGCACCATGGGATGTGTACTGCTGAGCGAGCTGCTCCAGCTTCCACTCTGGACTCTCAGCTCTCCATGCCACAGCCCCCGCCGCCTTCTGTCTGCAGCTGAGACCTCTGTGCCTGCAGGGGTTTTCCCTTGACTGAGCACAGCACAGAATGGGTGCCCTGCTGCCCCTCTACAGAGGCCTGAGTCCCTTCTGCCCGACCCAGTTTTCTTTTAGGACACTTTTATTAACTGTTGGCTGTCCCCATACTAGAAAGTAAGTTCCAGGCTCCACAAGGGTGCGTGTCAGGGGTTTTGATTCAGTGGCACCTGCACCTGGGAGGCAAGCTATGGCCATTTATTCTCTATGTCTTTTAGCTAGTTAATGCTTTTGTAGTGCTGGGGCTGGAACCCAGGGCGCAGCCCATGCAAGGGAAGTCCACAGCCTCGGCCCCCGGTACATGTCCTTCAGAGGTGGCTCCTGAGCCACACTGCCCTGTGAGCCATGGACAATGCCGACTTTGATGGTGATAGAAGAGGAGCTATGCCAATGGCAACTGGACAGGCTCCCCGACTGACATGGGCACACACCCCATTAAAGACAGAGAGAGACAGCTCCATGGGGCCATGCAAGGGCCCACCGGGCGTGGACTCAAAACGTCTTCGTTGCCTGATCCTGTCCCTCCATGGGCACTTGCCCCAGCCCAGGACGTCAGACACTGCTGGGCTGAAGCTGGAGCTTCAGCCCACACTGCTGGGGTCCCACAGGCGGCACGCCTTCCTGGTGTTTCATATTAAAACCCCCTAAAGGAGAAAGAGCAGGATATAAAATTGTATATAAAATGTTTTTAATTATATAGACCAGTGATCACAGGCACATTAAATAAGCAAACAAGCTGGGGGAAAGATGAGAATTCTCCAGAATGTCAACAGAGCTTGCTTCGGGGTGCCTGAAATAAAATAATTTTCCCTCCTCTTTTTACTTTTCTGTCTTCTGGATTTTCTGTAATGAAGGTATATTCGTTTTAATAGCTTTATTGGGGTATAACTGATAAACAAAATTGATCCACACATTGAATGCATATAATTTGTGAGTGGGGGATATGCGTGACGTATATTGTTTTATGATGGGGAAGTAATAATGCTATCCAATTTAAATGACAACATAACCTTGCCATTCAGAGCAATGTGGTGCTGGGTGGTTACCACGGTAACAGACATTAATGACTTTGGCAATTTACAATTTATATGTCACTTCATGTCCACTGCCTCCTTTGCACCTCATGCCAGCCCAAGGGGAGATCAGTGTTATTTCCCCCTCCCCAGGCAAAAGCCCTGGAGCTCTTGTGGACCAGTTGGAAGCCTGGGCTGGAGTCCTGGCTCCAGGCCTGCAGCTGTGTGGCCTTGGGCAGGTATTGCAACTACTCTGAGCCTTGCTTCCTATGAGTGGGTGCTGGCTTAAATAGTGCCTTCCCAGGATGAAAGGCTCATGAGAAATCAGGGGTGAGAGGGCTTGGAAGGGAGGCAGAAAGGACAAGACTCTGGGGAGACCAGGCTGTCCTGCTCTGGGCTACTCCCTGTGGTACAGAGGAGCAGCTTTTAGGCTGTGCCTAACCTTGAGTCACTCTATGTTATTATCATGTAGCTCTATTTATTTAGTTGCTATTTATTTATTTGATTTTGGAACTCAGGGCATTGCACTTGCTAGGCAGGTGCTGTACTACTTGAGCCACTCCTCCAGCCCTGAGTTACTCCATTTTATAAAACAACAGTTTTGACCCAAGTTACTCCATTTTGGGTATAAGTGCCAAGATTGAATGATTCTACATCTTGTTTATACAAGTAAACAGCCACCATCTGCCAGCACACCATGAGGCACAACTAATAAATAATTCATTTGTGCCAATGAATAATTACATCTGTGAATGTATCAAGTCATATCAGAAACACCAGACACATGAGCTTGTCAATCACAGCAGAAATAAGACCCCTTACCTGGACTACAAAAAGAGCACACCAACAACTGAGATGTGGTGGGCACACTGACCCATCATATATTCAGTCACTTGGCATGAGCCTGGTAAAGGACCACCACCTCTGTCCGCAGGCTCCAGCTCCAGGGCAGCTTATCCTGCCTATGACATGTAGCCCACTTCAAACTGGCAGCCTGCAGCCCAGACCTGCATTTGACAGCTGTGCACCTGCTGTTTGTAAAACTTCTCATCTGATCCTCTCCAGAGATTTCTCCTTGCAACTGTACCCGCTCTCTGCCTTCAAACAGCCCCTCTGACCCCTGCAGCCTCTTCAACCCAGCCTTAGCCTCTCCATCCATGTCCGTGTGAAGTATTAAGTATGCTCGGAGCGTTGATATTTGTCATTAAGATTGGGATAAAAGAGGCTGGGAGAGATGGTCCATATCTGTAATCCCAGCTACCTGGGAGGTAGTGGTAGGAGGATAGAGGTTCCAGGACAACTCAGGCAAACAAACTGAAAAAGCAAAAAAAATACTAGGGGCATGGCACAAGTAGTAGAGTGCTTGTCTGGCAATCAGGAGTTCAATCCTGAGAGAGAGAGAGAGAGAGAGAGAGAGAGAGAGAGAAGAGAGAGAGAG